ACTACTCTCCCTAGAAGTGGATGTCCAGCTAACATGACTCTAAAGGCTCGGTAACGTAATAAAGAACCTCAGAGTAACAGCTAAGTGCTTGAAGGAAGAATTGGAGCTGGTTCACATCTCTGTTCATGAGTCTACCACACACACATTATATAGTGCACGGTTGTCCTGTCATGGACACCACAGAGGAAGCTGCTGCTCTCCAAAAACACGTAGCTGAGCCCCTCAAGTTTGCCGAAGAGCAGCTTGACTCTCCACAGCACTGCTTTGAATGGGAATGTTTTATGGATTGATGACTCTCAGGTTGAATTGTTTGGGGAGAACATGCAGCTCTATGTGTGGTGTAAAATGATCACTGCATACCAACATGAAAACATCATCCCAAAGGTGAAGTGGAGTTTTGCTGACCTCTGGTCCTGGACAGCTCCACATCATCGAGGGGAAAATGAATTCTCCGGTTTATCAAGGTCTCTTCCAGGATAATGTCAGGGTGACTGTCCACCTGCCGAAGCTCGGGAGAAGTTTGGTGAAGCAGCAGGACAATGAAGCCTAAACGTTAAATAACTTACTACAGAATGACTTCAAACAAAGGAAATGCACCTGTTGGAGCCCAGACTTTAAACCAGCAGAGACGCTTACATCATCCTAAGAATCTGTCTGAGCTGAAGCAGCTCTATAAGACAGAGTGGTCCAAACTTTCTGAACATTCTTCAGGTCTGATCAGCTGCTACTGGAGGTTGTTTGAGGTTATTGCTGCTAAAACAGGTTTGACCATTGATTAAATCCAAGGTTTCACTTACTTTTTCCACCAATTCTTTGAATGTTTCATGGCTGTGTTCAATGAAGACAAGGAAGATTATAGTTGTTTATGTTATATTAGCTCAGGAACACTGTTTGTCTTCATTTGTGTGTTAGATGAAGATCAGATCACATTTTATGACTCATTAACATAGAAAACCAGCTCATTCCAAAGGGTTCACCAATTTGGATTATGAGACCTTAATGTTGTGCTACTGCCCCATAACAGAGGGGTTGGATTCATAATGTATGTCTCCAAAGCTTGACACTAAGTATATGTATGTATGTTTGTATAGTAATGAAAACCAGATACACATCCTGTAAATACAGTAATCTTCTATCATCAATACCCTTAAAGCTTGTGTTGTCACAGATGCCTGAATGTGTTATGGTTTTTTCCTCAGTCCTGCTGTGGTTCTGGTTTCGGCTCTGGGCTCTCTGGTTCTTCTGCTGGCCCTGGCCGTGTACAGGCACAAACATCCAGTCAACCTCTACCTGCTAGTTGTGTTTGTAAGCATGTTTTGTTTCCAGAAAGTAACATTTAGCTTTAGCCGTCGGATGAATGCAACATCTGTTAGGCTGGAGTTGTAACAGATGGGGTACAGTGTATATTTACCCCTTCCATTTATTTCCATATTTCCCAGTGTCACTTTGTAATGATGGATTAGCTGCTCAGTGACCTTCACAGAAGCTGGTTATTTAATAATAACTCCTAGCTGGATGGTGTGTAAGTGTCACTAACTGTGTGTTGTTTGCAGACTCTACTGGAGGCAGTTTCTGTGGCCACAGCTGGTAAGTAATCTCTTGAAGGCGTCAGTCAGTTGCCATCCTCTGAACCCGTCGGCAGACTGTCCTGACTGCAGGCTTTTCCTCTCCACAGTGTCCTTCTATGAATACGCCACTGTACTGCAAGCCTTGTTCCTGACCTGCGCTGTGTTTGTCGGACTGACGGCCTACACCTTCCAGTCCAAGAGAGACTTCAGCAAAATGGGAGTGGGGTGAGTTAGTGTGTCATAGCTTTTGTTACATATGGCCGCATAGAGGCCACCATCAGACTGACAGTATCTGCCCTTTTCTGACCTTACAGCCTGTTCGCCTGCCTGTGGATCCTCATCATTGCAAGCTCCATGAGGGTGAGTGGAAGTGCCTGACATTAATGTGGCTATTTCATATGAAAGAAATGAGAGGAAAAGGCAGAATAAGTGCAAGAAAAGGAGAGAGAGAGACAGAAACGGTGTGTGTTCAGACAGAAAACATCACTTTAAAGGCTGTGCACCATAAACTCAAAGGGGGCATGAATTGATACAGAGTCCAGGGAGATTTGTGAATGGAAGCGAAAGACGTCTGCTCATGTTTCTCATTTGCGTTGATCCTAAATTGTATGATGCCTCTTCAGGAATGTGTAGAGACAGAAAGGAGCCTTATGCAAAAACACACACCACACACTCTGTATCAGAGCAAAAATCAAAGAAGATTTATTTAACACCTTAAATAAGTTAATTATACATAGATTTTCTGTTATCTCATCATTCCCTCAGCAGAATGTCTAAGGATGAAGAGGCTTTATTTTATTTGTCTCATCCTCCTCACTGTAGTTGTGGAGCAGAGGGGAGACTCCCGCCGCTCCAATCTGGCTATGTCATTTGATATTTAACTGGAAGCCAGTTATTATTAAATATTTGAAATGAGCTCATGAATTCATTTTTACTTTGTAAGCACTTTATTACTTTTTAAATGAATGATACAGTATGGAATTAACTGCAAAAAGTAGCCTATTTTATTTTATGTCTCTGGATAAGACGTGGGTGCCATCACAGCCACAGTGTGTACTAACTCAACACTAGCTTCCCCCTGTTCCTGTCTCTGTCTAATATAAGTCAATGGGTTTAAATGTAGGGGAAGAGAGAGTCCTGAGACCAATACAACAGTGAGGTTCATGACTGATTTATCATTAGAGAAGAGAAGAGACTTTTAGCCAGTCAAATCCATTCTTTTAAAAAATTAAATTACTAAATTAGGTCTAATATTTGTGTTATAAATTCAAGGGTGACTCATTGTAGTACATTGGGTTTTGATTTTATTCATCTTCTTCCTGTTTACATCTGGCCATAGTATGGTAGCCTCTGTAGGACACACCTATCCATTACCACAATATTATCCACTGCAGTCCAGCGGAGAAAAAAAATGAGCGGTTAATAACAAGATGGCGTGGCAGCTAAACTGCTTGCTGCCACATATTATACGCACTGTTACATATCGTCGTTGCTGTAACTGTCACAGAAGCAGCAGGCATTCAAGCATAAAGCATGAAAGCAGAATATGAGGCAACACAAATGTTTTCATTATGTTTATGAAAATCTGGAATGAATGTAGATTCAACATTTATGTTGAATTTAAATTTAAGTCTACTTTTTTTGTTTTCTATCTGGTGAGAAAAGACAGTTTAAGTAGCCATGCTGAGCTGTTGGATGGGAGTGTGTTTGCTTTCCCCTTCATTCTGACTCTCTCTCTCTCTCTGCAGTTCTTCTTCAACAGTGACAGCACAGAGCTGGTCCTGTCTGGAGCCGGGGCTCTGATCTTCTGCGGCTTCATCATCTACGACACCCACATGCTGATGAAGCAGCTCTCCCCCGAGGAGCACATCCTGGCCTCCATCAACCTCTACCTGGACATCGTCAACCTCTTCCTGCACATCCTGCGTATCCTCGACTCCATGAAGAAGCACTGAAAGCTGCTGTACTCTGCTGTTACCAGCTTCACTGGAAACCCACTCATATGCCTGTGCTGTGATTAACACGTGTTCATGTGAGGTTCATCAAAAATTAGATTTCAGAGAGGAATCTTCATAGATAAAATCTAAATACCTCTCTGTCATTGGTGAACTCTTTCCAGGTAGCTGCTTCTTTTTATTCCACCCAAGCTGATTGTGCTTTTGTATTAAGTTGAGGAGATGTTTATCAGTGCAGCTGTTTGTTTTGTAACCAGGATATATAATCATCATGTCATGAGACTAAAATGTACACTACCTGATTTGATATAAGGCCCACTGGCACCCCCAACTGGCGCAATGGCTTCTCTCCTTGTTTCAGAAAAATTATCCCTTTTCTCAAAGTATATTTTTCAGTACATCTCACAGGGGTTTCAGAGCTGTCATTCTAATTTATTCTCTTATTGAATTTACTGTTGAATGTTTTCAATGTTGTCAAAAATTTGTTGTTTATATTCGACCAGTGCACTGTACTGCTGCAGCCCTCTCATGTCCCACATTATATGTTCATTTTAATGAAGTTCAAGTGCATGCTTGGGGTTATTAATATCTGTGGTTGTACATATTGTAATTTTATGGTGTAAATGTAATGAAAGTAAATAAATAATATGTCATTCTATCCTTTAAGTAATTGCAAGCATCATGGTAAATGTTGCTTCAGCTGTCCTTAATGCATGGTTTAATAAAGACTTAATGCAAAGTTTTTTCATTCGCAAACTTCACCTGTTGTGTTGCATTTTTTATTTGTACTTCATTTAAATCAATTCATATGGATCCTTTTCACTTTGACAGTGTTTCTGTTGATCACTGCCAACAGGGGGATTCTTTTTTAATAAGAATTACTAATACAAACATTGCCTTTTGGACTTGAAATAGATTATTGATGTATGCCTTTCAATATTAATAAAACCTCTCAGTGGAATGAATTTGTTTAAACAGAAAAAAAAGTCAGCTGAGAGCTGTTACAGTGCTTGAAAACCAGCATTTGAATAAACATAATGTAGTACAAACAGAAATGATAGAGAAGATAAACACTACTAATAACAATACATATAGTAATAATATTAATATCCATATTAATTAAGTTAAGCAAATAAATAAAAACAAAAGTGTGGAAAAAATAAGGTGCAGAAGGCATTTACTGAAATCATTTAACTCCTATAGCAGATGGATTGTATGCAAACATATTATTGATACCTTTAACAGAGTCAATGTAATTTCCAAATGTGGTAATGAACAACTCAATAGATGGGACATATTTATAAAATTTGGGCATTTTTTTTATATGAAATTTACTAAATAAGCGTAATACATTAACAGTAGTATTTTGTCGTTCTTGTTTTCTTTATCTAAAATAGACTCGCTTTGGCTTCTAACTTAATTATGTGGATTGTTTGATTAGCAAAATAATCGGTTTTCTCTAGCAGACTGTATATATCAACCTTGATAGATGTATTGTCTTATTCGGCTTTACAAAAATCACATTTGATTTGATGACAAAGTTTGAGGTTTAAGAATTAGCATATTATTTACAGTTTGGTTGTGTACTTCTCTTATTGGTTGAAAATAATAGGTTTGTATGGAGTTTTTGCCACTGAATCTTGGAAAAATGGGAGCTCCACACAAATTTTCCACGTGGAGTGATTTTTCTTGTTTAGAAATAAAAACTTGTATGTTATTTGTACACTTGTGGCCTTTGATATGTATTCCACTTAAAAACATGGTAAATTTATATGGAATATTAAATGTCTTAGTTCTAAGAAAGTCCTCATAACTAAGAATTTGAACGTTTTTAAACAGTGTTCTGTTGGTTTTGAACGCAGCCCAGTTGGTCAACTGCCACTTCACCTCAACGTCATTTCCGTCACACAACCTTCTCCTAGAGTTTTGTCTAAGATGGCGTCAATGCAGTTAACGGATGAGGAGCTTTTCTCCGAATTAAAGCGTTTCGGTTTCACTCCAGGCCCGGTTACCGAGAATACCCGTCCGGTGTATTTAAAGAAATTGAAGAAGCTTCGCGAAGAGCAACAGCAGCGGGGCTCCAGATCGGGTAAAACCCGTAGCAGCGGGGCCATCCACAGCACCACTGGCGGCGGCAACACGGCGGGATCCAGGCCAGCCAGCCATGACGTCACGCACCTGAGCTCTAACAGGAGACCGGGCCGGAAGTCCTCCGTCCTCGGCTTCAGCTCCGACGAGTCTGACGCTGAAACTCCACTGAAAAGAAAGGGCCTCAATCACAGCGGCAGGGCAGACCGAAGCTCCGGTTTTCAACAACAACCGAAGATAAGGCCTGTTACAACACCGACTGTGGCTATCAAGAGTCAGTATGGCGCTGGGAGTACGCTGAATAGCAGCAGTTCTTCCCCGGGTCCGGACGGACAGAGAGGTGTCTCGCTGGGCTGGGGAGTTCGTGCCAGATCCAGCCCTGAGGCGAAAGGGAGGGATTACGACGAATCGGGAGAAGAGGACGATTATGAGGGGGAAACGGAGAAGAACTCTCGCTCTGTAAATGGCTGCGGGGCGTCTCACTTGATCACTAGCAAGTTAGCCGGGGATTACTCAGACTCCGACGAGGAGGAGGTTGGGGGCCTTGGCGGCGTAGACCGACAGCGGGATAGGTTAGAGCCCAGACGGAGCCACCCGAAAGCGGCGTTCCCTTCCCACGGAGTCGGCCGAGGGTCTCAGACGGGAGGGGCAGCCAGAGAGGTTAACTCGCCTGGGAGTCTAAACATGGTGGGAAGACGGAGGGAGGAGGGGGAGGAAGACGAGGTGAAGAGAAGGGACTCGGACCCATCGGGAGGCTTGCGGAGCCACAACTTTCCCAGGAAGTCCATCTACGTCTCCCTCTCCGAGAACCATGGAAGAGAGGCCGGCAAAAACAACCACGTCGACAGCGAGGACGGATCCTTCAGAAGCAGCAGCTCTAATAGGTTCAGCATCGGGCTGAGACCGCGCTTCTCCAACTACAGCAGCCTGTCCCAGCCTTACAGGGGCAACCACTCCAACCACACCGCTCCCAACCACTCATACAGCCAGACAGCGCTGAAGCAAAAGCTGTCTGTCCCGGAGGATGAGCTGCTCCAGCAATTCAAAAGGGAAGAAGTGGCCTCCTCTGGTAGCTTCAGCGCTCACTACCTGTCCATGTTCCTGCTCACGGCAGCCTGCCTCTTCTTTCTGCTGCTAGGCCTCATGTACCTTAGGATGAGGGGCTCTGGATCCTCAGAGGTGGATGGAGTCAGTAAGTATTTGATAAGATGTGCTATTTAAGCTTTTCCATTGTTTAGGGTCATGGATGTCCACTGGCAATTTAAAGCCAGTGTTTCAGGTAGAATGTTTTTTCCCATGTGGCTTAGTTGTGGTGTTAGTGTCTTTTTTTAATCTCCAGACAATTAAGCTTCCCCTGTACACTAGTTTGAAAATAATTGAAAGTGATGTTTTTTAAAGCTTCAGGAGATTCACAAGGATATACAACTTTTTTTGCACAACTGTAAAAAGTAAATAGCTGAGCAAGAATAGCAAACCTGTTATTATACATATTAAAACAAGAGCAGACTACCCCACACACTACTACAGTTAAGCAGAATTCACACAATATGTTGTCAACAAATGCAAACCAGGAGCACAGATCAGTGGCCACAGTGTGTTTTCAGTCTTTCCCCCCCTGCAGGTGCACTCACTAGATGTGATTTGTAGTAGTCTGAACCATCAGGAACATAATCCATCCCTCTCTAACAAGTGTTGGCACAAATGTTGGTTCAGCCGTGACCCAAACAGGTTCTAGATGCTGTTGTTGCTGATGCGTTCATCTCCAAGTGGCTCAGAGATGACCCAAACCCTCCCCTTTCCTCCATGATGTATGCATGAATACAAATGTGCAGACTTTGCACACTTAAAGGTTGCGTACCCAGGAAGTGAACGTGTGCCAAGAGTTGTCCAAATTCACAATTCATCAAATTCACCAGCACTCTTGAACGCACATTCTCCAGACTTCCAAAGACTCCACTTTTAGAAGATTATGCATATTGCAAACAAATATCAACAAGACAATGGAAACAAAGGGATAATAATATTACTCAACAATTGAAATGTTCACTTAATTAAAATCAAGGTTAAGGTTAAAAACGTTCAATTAAGTGTCGCAAATCTTATCTTTTACAACTTAGATCACCTCACAGATAACAAAAAAAGTTGTGTATGCACACAAGGATGTGCTTGCAGGTGATGCGATGGACATTCCCGCTAATGGTGTCACATGATTCCAGTGATCGACAGCAGATTTAGATCTAGATTCAGGTTCGGTAAAATGCCATCGAACCTCACCCTCGTGATATGATAAATGTAGTGAATTGATTTCCTTCCCTCCTTCCATTTAAAACAAACTTGATGAATCAAAATTTCTAAAAAGTTTGAAACCAAAGCTGTCGGATCGTTTCTTGTATTTTTGCTCCTCCACATTTAAAAACACCACAGTTTACAACCTTAAAAATTTACTATGGATTTCAGCACCTCTCAGACACTGTCAGCAATACAAATGGTCTATTTCACAAAGCTATGTACATGACTGTTAGGTTGCTTTCTACCTGTGTGCTGAAATAAAACCTAACCAATGATGTTATTATTTTGTTAAATTGCTTTAAAGTTGAAGTTTCGACCAGTCGACAAAAAACCAGATGCCAAATTTCCTTGAATATCATGTGTGTAATTCTGTCCTGAATTAATTCAGGCCTCAAGTGCCAAGCTGATGTGGTGAGGGTTTCGAGGGTTGAGCCTCATGTACAGACACTGACTCACATGTGATGTCTGAACTCCACTCACATTTCATGTCTCCAATCATGTCGTCTTACTGTAAAACACCAAGTTTTTCCTTCTACTATTCCAGCCTGTGCCTTATGTGTGAGGTTTACAGTGCAGTTTAAATGAGCATGCTGCGTCTCTGTCCCCTGACTGACCACCTTCTCTTCTGTTACAGTTAAGAGCCACCCTTTTGGCGGCGAGTTTGACTCTTCTTATGTAAGTATATATTTTCCTCTGACACCCTCTTCCAGTTGTGTGTATGACAAAAGCTGTGTAGCAAACTTTTTGTTGAGTCTAGAGAGCCCAGGAAATGCAGTGTGAACACTTCACCTGGAATTAGATTGGAAGCGTTATAATGTGAGCAGTGAACACAGCTTAAGTGCTGCGTGTTAATGAATTTAGCTCGCTCTCCTGGCCAGGCTGTGACCGGCGCTACCTTTCAAGCGTTTCATATTTTTTGTGATGTGCGCGTCGGCTGGAAAGACAGACAGTAATTGTCTTTGTGCCAGGTGTTTCATACGTTTTGTCCACCCCCCTTGTACCAACAAGGGTGGATCAAAGATGCAGGCTGTAAAACCAGTTTACCTGAACTGAACACTATGAATAACTCACATTAGGATCCAAATTTATTTTAAGAGTTCACTAAATGTCTTAACTGGGTGTGTTTTAATGCTAAAACAAAGCCCATCTAAATCCTTTCTTTACTGTACTCTGTTGTTTTTTCCACCTCCGCCTGTTAGTGCTGCAGTGCTGTGCCCCTCTATGACAGCCGGCCTCTAGAGTGCAGCGTTCTGCTGCATATGTGAGTGTTTTAAATGTGGAAAATGATTTGGGCACACCAGTTAGTGACTCCGAGTTCAGACACTTAGCTCCAACATTAACCATCATTAGCACAGAGCCTCGTATGAAACATTCAGATAGCAGCGTCTCATTTTCAGCTGGCAGTGACCGTCACTTTGACCACTTCAAATGACAACAGGTCACATCAGTGGCTGTTCATTAATGTTGATTCCTTGAGGAACAGGATGATGGGCCATAAACTTGTCTGTTGTCTGGTTAGATGTGTTATGCTGCCTGTGTCTGTATGACACCGCTGTACAACTGCAAGTTGACTGAGTGTTACTGTAGTTCATACACCTTCTCTCCAGCTCATCACGTCAGGAGTTACATTTTCCCACTTTAACTTTCATTCATGCGCAATTTAACTTACAATTTAAGCTCATAAACATAATGGTTTTGAAACAGGACATTCAGTATCTGGATCAAGCACCTTGTGAAAATGTATTTATTATATTAAGTAAACACTGAAGTGGATAAAATATTGTATTGGACTTTGGCAGACACCCAATATTTGACTTTGCTGCTAGATTGTAAAATTTTGCTTCCCTTCATATTTTCAGTATGAACTTGTGCCACCAGAAAGGTGTATAAATGAAATAACAAATCAATGCACTTCTGTTGGTTTGTTCACTAAGGATTTATTGTGTCTGCAGGACAAGGCAGAGAAGGACCTGATCCTGAAGCTGCTGCTCAATCTACACGACCACCTGGCCCACATCGCTGGTAGCTATGAACTCTCTGCACTACTGACTGACTGACTGACTGACTGACTGACTGTGTAGAGCTGTGTGAAGTAGCTTAGTGTAGAGTACAGTTTCTCCCTTTTTGTCTCTGACAGCTGAGTGAGCAGTGATTATTTTCATTGATTATGTGAATTCTTTCACCGCATAAATGCTTTGCTAAGCTAACCCTGCTTACAGTAGCAATATGCACTCATTCATATTCATAGGCCTAGTGATAGGTTGAACATCATTTAACATGAATACTGGGTGTCCATTGGAACACTGACTCAACTTTAGGCACATTTCACTGTGCACTGAAAGCTGTGATAACACACTGCGACTGGTCAATATAGGGAGCGTTTAAGTGTGTTCATTAGGCCGATGAGAGCTAATTAACACAGTGTTTTTAATGATATTACAAGCAGATAATGCACATTTATTTGCTTTATAATTTGCTGTATGCACAGGTGAAAGCAAATAGAATCATGTGCTGTTTCCAGTCTAGTTCTTTGGAATGACAGCAAGTCTCACGTTTGCATTTTATATTCTGTACACATGGATTAAGAGAAGAGGCCACATGAGAGGTCCTCAGTGAAAGCAGCTTTTATTGTTGTAATCTGAACTGAGTGACTGACTAACAACGCATCGCTAATAACAACCCTACCCACTACTTGTATGGTGTTCCTAACAAAGTGCTCAGTGAGTGTACAATGTATCGAACACTGCCCAGTATTTAAAATCTACTGTGATTAAAAATGTTAGGGTTGGTGCCTTTTAAACCTCTCGTGTAAACACAAGTACTGATGTGCAGATAAACAGGATGTGATGACACATTGTGTTGATACAGTTTGTTTTCCTCAGTGATGGTTTGATGCTGTTGATTACAGGCCAGCACGACTGTGGAGACCAGAAGTGTCCAAACAGGAGTCTGTCCATGGACGAGGCCTCTGCGTATTTACGGGTACGTCCACACTAACGTTCCTGCCTGTAACAAAACTTGAAACACAAGCTGTAAGCATGACTGCTGTGTTATGTGAATACTACACAGCAATGTTTGTGGTTCACAATGACCTTGAACAGGGTAACCTGTGAGCTTGATTCATTTTTCTGTGAATTCTGCAGAAAGGTAGAGTGTATCAACCTGTTTCCTCTGCTTCAGATGTTTTGAATGTAGCCTGAAGGCAGGATGAGAGTGATGCTGAGTGAGAGTGGTGAGCATAAGAGGAGCACTGTTTAGTTAATTGTTTGGAACAGCTTTTTTAAAGTTCCCATATTTTCTCTTCTCCTGTGTTTTGTTTGAAGTGTTGATCCATAAGAAGATATATTTGTGGTTTTAAGAACCAAAAACCATTTCAATGTAGTTTTACATCTCCTCTCTCAGGCTTCTCTCTGGAGCTCTAGTAACAACAGGTCGGTGAGCCAATCAGAAGAGAGGAGGCTCTGAGCCTCTCTTCTGATTGGCTGACTGTTTTCTGAGTGATCCAATTAAAATATAGCAGATTTCAAGTAAACACTCGGAGAAAGGTTGGCTGGTGGGTTGCTGCTTTGTTGTGACATCACAAAGTTCCTGAGGTCCTGACGGCTGGTTTTAAGGCTCAGTTTCTGAATACAGGCTGTGTGCATTTCTCTGTGGACTGAGGCTTTGATACTTTCACAGTATTAATATAGAACCTAGACCTGCTTTATAATCAAACTACACATGGACATCTGCCTTTAGACTATATGGGACCTTTAAAGTAGTAACATTGGTTTTCTCTCCCGCTCCAAGACGAGTGAGATAGCTTTGACCCAGAATGAGTTTTGTTTTCACAGCCAGTACAGATATCCACACAGCAACACCCTGATATACACACATACATTCATGCCTGTATCCCGCTCCATACTTGTATGCACTCACACTGTTTTTGGCAGCTGTGGCAAAGGGGGCAAAAGTGCTAAAACAAGCTCTTCTCAACATATCTCTAATTCAAGCAGGAACATTTTCATGTCATCTCTCTCCTGGCTGGAGGGAACCAGCATCAGCTTGCTTGTGTGTTTCTGTAACTGATGTTCAGCGTCCAGGTGTGCAGTGAAGGGCACCATTCACCACACCACATTGGTGTTTTCTCTCTCGGTGAAAACAGAGCTTAAAAGAAAACCCAGAGAGTATGGAAGATTATTGACGAGCAGTATCGATAAAGCAGGACCCTTAGGAGTGGGAACTGTTTGTGTTGTTCCTCTCATCAGTATCATGTGTTTTGTTCAGGCCCAGAATCAGGAGTTTGAAGGCTTCATTCATTTGTCTCTGGAGTGGATCATCCGGGCAGGACAGGACGTGGGCATAAGGTAAAACAAGACACAAGCATTCATGCTGATCACAAGCTTTTCAGAGCCCCCCCTCACTGTGTGACATCTGTACTCACTCTTTGTGTGTGTGTGTGTGTGTGTGTGTGCGTTTGTGTGTGTGTGCGTGTGCGCAGGCTGACTGGGCAGGTAGCTGATAACCCGGTGACCGATGTGTCTGAGATCTCTCGGCTGGAGTCCACGCACCCCAAGATGCCCTTCACATGCCGCTTCCGTCGAGCCTTCGTCACCGTCATCAGCAGAGTCTTCGTCATCGCAGTCGGTGAGAACACGACAGTTAATGAATGCGTTGCCAAAGTGCAGTGTCGCATTTTGCCACCAGACTCCAGTAAACTGCGTTTGAACCTGTGAATCCTGTGCGTCTGTGCAGTGGTGGGCTGTGTGTGGAGCGTGGTCTGGTACATGAAGTATCGCTGGAGGAGGGAGGAGGAGGAGACCAGGCAGATGTATGACATGGTGGAGAGGATCATCGGTAAGAAACGCCGCACGCGCAGAGACAGTCTGACGTCACTGCTGTTTGCTGTCTGACACAGAGATTAGGAACCAGTCTTCACTTTCATCTGTGTATCCAGAACCAAGAAGGTTCCCAACATGTTTCATGACAAAGACTGGAACTGAGGAAACCTTTAGCTTTGTAAGGAGTGAGAAAATAAAAACCACTCATGATAAGTTGATAATGTATAGAGACATTGAATCACATACACAGTATATTTACAGTTTTCAGACCCCTTCACTTTATGCACTTTTTATTGTGAGGTCAATATCATTTTAAATGGATGAAATTGTCGTGTTTGCCCATCAATCTACCCTCAATCCAAAATGACAAAGTGAAAACAGAAATATTAGCAAATGTATTAAAACTTAAAAAAAAGCTGAAATCTCTTTTACAAAATATTCAGACTCTTTGCAATGCCGCCCCAAATTGTAGTCAGGTGCATCCTCTGTGGGTCATTGTTTTAAGTTTTAATTCTCTTTTTGTTGTGATATCAAGTGATCCATACAAACAGTGTGATGCCTTGTGTGAAGTCTTTTCCATACAAGCTTTCTGTAAGACATCATTGTAATGAATCTAAGTTAAAATAGATAATACAGAGGCAGCTAAGGGCCAGTACAATAAAACACAATTAAAAAATAGAAAATGAAAAAAAGTAATTCTTTTCATACTAAATATTTCTTAAATCATGTCTGGTTTTATCTACTTTCTAGCAACAGCTTTCCAGTCAGCAGCACCTAGAATCTGAAATGAATAGGAGCTCTCTGTAGACGGCAATAAAATTTAGTGGCCAGGCGTAGATCAGGGCAAAGGTATAAAACCATTTCTAAAGCTTTGAGTGCTCCCAGGAGAGCAGTGGAGTCAATCATTGTGAAATGGAGGAAGTTTGGAACCAGGACTCCTCATAGAGTTGGCTGTCTGGCCAAACTGAGTAGAACTGAGCAAGAAGAGCCTTGGTGAGAAGGGGGGCCAAAAAACCCAACAGTCACAGAGCTTCAGAAGTCTTCTGGGACGACCGTCTCAGCAAGACACTGCGTTAGTCTTTATGGAGTGTCTAGACATAAGTCACTGTGAGTAAACGGCATGTCACAGTCTGCTGGAAGTTTGACTAACAGCATCTAAAGATGGGAGTTCACAGACACTTCCCGTCCATTCTGATGGAACCTGAGAGGATCTGTAAGGAAGAATGTGATAAACTGCCCAAATCCAGATGCAAAGCTCGGAGAGACTTACCCAAGAAAACTTGGCGCTGTAACTGCTGCCAAAGAGGCTTCAACAAAGTTCTGAATGAAGCTTTTAAATACTTTTGTAAATGAGAGATTGATGTTTTTGATTTTAATAAATTTGCAAAAAAAATTCTAAAAGAAATGTTTTCACTTTGTCATTATGGGTTATTGAGTGAGACTGATGGGCAGAAATGGCAATTGTATCCATTTAAAATGAAATGTACAACATTAAGTGTGCAGAAAGCGAAGGGGTCAGAATACACAGTGACGCCGGTGTGTATATATACATAATGTCCACTCTTGAAAGCTGCAGGTTTTTCTCTTTGATCCTTTTATTCTTCCTGACTTCTCCTAACCACCTTCTGTTGTTCAGACGTGTTGAGGAGCCACACTGAGGCTTGCCAAGAGAACCAGGACCTACAGCCCTACATGCCCATCCCCCATGTCAGAGACTCCCTGGTTCTGCCTCAGGATCGGTCAGTACCAACAGCTGCCACCCACGGCTCCGTCTGAATCCAGATAGAAAACTGTCAAGAAAAGTATATTAAGGCCTGATATTCACACCTGCCATTAGGCTTAGGCTAATAATCGATAATATTGAATATTGCGATATTTCCATACGCAATATTTTACATAATATCGGAAAAGTTATATATTTATATTATTAAAAAATGCCTGAAACAAAAAATACAATAATATATTAACTTTATGTATTATTAGAAAATAAGTAAGTCCCCCATGATAATATTGTATATCATGATCATTTTGTGTATCGTGATATTTGGGCTGGATGTGTTGAGATATTAAATTTGGGATATAAAGAAAGCAGGTGAAATGTCTCGGGTGATGGTTATTGTAGTTTTCATGTGTTTTAATAGGCTTCCTTAAAGTTAACATTCAGATACACTTTCAAACTCCTTGTCCAGTCTGCCTGTGGATCTGTCAGGTGAAGATGATGAGTGACAAGTTGTGATATTTTACAGGAAGAAGATGAAGAAGATCTGGGACCGGGCTGTGAGCTTCCTCTCAGCCGACGAGTCCAGGATTCGAACAGAGAATCAGAGGATCGGCGGAGCGGACTTCCTGGTCTGGAGGTGGATCCAGCCTTCTTTCAGTTGCGACAAGACCTCCTTAATGCCCTCCAAAGTTTGGCAGGGAAAAGGTAACGCACACTAAATGTTTTCACTCAGACTGTAGTAATGAGTCCTTCAGAAACCCGGAAATGCAAGGTATCATGGATAAACGGATATTTATAGCTGACAGTGCAGTGAACGTGGAGTGAACAAGCTACTGCAGCGCGCTCTCTGCAACCCCCTCTGCGGGGGGGTGTCACGCTGTCTACAACAGTTAAAGTGTCCTTTCTACAATGTGACCACTGTACAGCACACCTGCTGTTTCCTATTACTTTATAAACACTATGGTTATCCGATTATCAGTGTGTTTGTAGAAGGAGGCGGGAGAGAAAATGATTGGGTCAGACTTACCGCAGACCAGTGGATGTCAGATTGATTGGACGATTGGAATCTCAGAACTAGTGTGAGATATGATCGTGGCTCATAAATATGTTAGCGTGTTAACCAGCGTTCATTACCAAGGTGGTGTGCTGCAGATGAAATCATTATTTTTATCGCCGCTTCATTGTTGACATTTCGAGCGAGTGATGACAGAGAAAGCTAGAGGGCACAGAGGGTTGTTATATTCAGGTACAGCCACAAAGCATCTAAACACGCTGCAAACATGTGTTCCCTTTGCTGTAAGATACACAAAATGTTGGCAGAACAACTGTGAACTTTCCTAGAAACGTGGCTGCTCAAGAGCAAGTCATTGAAACAGCAAGTCAGCTGGAACTCAGTTTTCCAGTCACGGAAAACACATGGAACACGAGAGAAAAAAGTAAAATGTCCTGGAAAATTATTTCAACCTTTCAACCCCCCCCCAAAGTCATCTTCAGGATCGTGTTGATGTTCAAAATGGTCGGATAGTATTTTGAATAGGAGGCTATTGGTTTTGTTTGCGAACTGTGAACGCACCCCGAAGCCACATCACATGCTGCAGGTTGGATGATTTACAACTGAAGGGGCTGAAACTGAATCGTACATTTAGCCACACAAAGCTCTGGATTGGTCAGGAGGGAAAATTGTCGGTGACTAATTGTTGTATTGGTTTTCAGGCAGAAATGGGGAAAAAAGGGAAGCAGGTTATACATGTTTTTAATAATGATAAATTTTATTTACCTAGCAAAAGTTCCTGAGTGACATCATCAGTAAAAATGTCCTGGAAAAGTCCTGGGAAATGATCTGTAGAAAAGAGCGGGAAACCCTGCTTGATGTTTTTCAGATTTTGAGAGAGATGTGTTGGAGCCACGTATGTTTGTGGAGTCCACCACAGGAATCACACAGCCAGCTTAGATCCCTGTACTTTGTAATCTAACATGGTCTTCAGTTCATTGAGATTCTGTCCCCCTCCCCCCACCGCCAGCGTTCCCTCTGGACCGGAGGAACTCGCCTCCCAACAGCCTGACTCCATGTCTGAAGATCAGGAACATGTTTGACCCGGTCATGTGAGTACTGGTCTCTGCTGCTTGTTGGATGAGCTCAGTCTCTTCCCTGGTTTGACTTTGTGGTTTTTAACATCTTTGTGTGTGTTTTTTACAGGGAGGTTGGGGAGAACTGGGATCTAGCCATCCAGCAGGCGATCCTGGAGAAGTGCAGTGACAACGACGGCATCGTCCACATCACTGTTGACAAGAACTCACGAGAGGTACGCTCCGTCCTACCAATGACGAGCAAACTGTCATGTCCACCTTCTTATGCTGTTTTGCTGTGAGGATGTTACAGTGTACTTCCTGCTCTCTCTACAGGGCTGCGTCTATGTCAAGTGTCTCTCTGCAGAGCACTCAGGGAAAGCCTTCAAGGCACTTCATGGCTCCTGGTTTGATGGTAAATTACACACTTACATTTACAGCACGTCACATGATTTACTGTCCAGGAAGTCCAGTTCTAATAATTCATCCATGGGTTTAGAAGGCTGAACAGCAGTTTATAATACTAGGAGACAGAAGGTTACAAGTCGCTGCCACAGGAAACTAACTCAATTCCTCCAAATTAAAAGCATTAGTAATTCATTAAAGATGGTTTTTCTTGTATTTTAAGGACATTGTAGTACAGAATTTAGTTGAGTCCGCTCATGTGATCGTCATTTTCTCGTCCACCTTGACAACCACAAGATACAAAAGGTCCTGTTGTACATCTTTGGTAGGTCATCATGTGTCACGGCTTGCGTTTGAGCCCAACACAGTGGTCTGAAGGCAGCACAGAGGCAGGGGTGTGTAAAGGCAGCAGTGTTGAATCTGCTCTGAATGGCAGCGTGAGATGCATGAGTCGTGCAAATCTGGATAACAGCGAAAGCTTTCACACAGTCTCTGCTTGAAGTTCATGATGTTGCACTTGGTTGTTCATACAAAAAATGACTGAAGTACTTGTGTGAAGTTTGGAAAAAAGCTTGAGAGAGAAGTTCAAACTGTGCCTGTTTTTACAGCTCCATTGTTTTTGGGCCGTTACAGGACGTAGCCCCTGTTTCACTGCTGGAAAACTTTGGGTGGAGGAGCTTCCAGATACCGTACAATCTGACACACACTCGATTTGAAGCAGGCTGAGGCTCTAAGGCTGTGTTCATACTGACATCTAGACATGGGCTGATATTTGCTAATATCAAATGCACGTGTGTACATTGTACAAGCAGCATCACTTATACCTGAAACATAAAATACAATCATAATTATGAATTATTAAAACACAAAACATGAAATAAACAATATGATTTTATTAGAATCCCGGGTGATTATATCTTATAATATGATAACTGAGCTGGACTGTGTCCACATATTAAATTCTGGATATTGCCCCAAGCCCACTGACATCAGTGTGCAGTGTTTCGGTGTCTTCAGACTCGTGAACATATCAGTGAAACTGGACTGTCTGGATTGTATTTCAGCTTCTCACTTGTAGCAATACACCTACACAGCTCCTTCTGTTATTTATAACAAAGTACTGAACTCAGTCTGAGTTCCTGCTGAGGCTGACAACAACAATCAGCAGCTCACTGGCAGCATGCGATGACAACAGAAGACATTTTGAGCACATTATTAAGACACTGAATCATCTCGCTCAGCCTTATACAACTTGCACTGGTTTAGAATTACCCATATATGCACTGTTGACATAAAAGGAAGGGTGCATAGTTACTATCACAGTGATGGGGTTTCCCCATAAAAACAGTTGGCAAGCAATATATGTTTGTGAAACAGTATATTAGCTAAAAAGCTGCTTTCTGTATTTACCCTGTGAACAAATCAGTTGAACCTGAAGTCTGTAAATGAACTTCACTGCTCAGACACTGAATGCAAATGAAACATTTCTATTAGCAGCAATTTTATTTATTGATTATTAGCGTCTATATTTGGTTTGTAACATTATAATTTAACAATTACCCATAACTCGCAGAAATGAGCAAATTTAGTGAATATATCTCGTATCAAACCTCATAGTTTCTGGAAATGATGACGGACAAGAAAAGTGATTATTTCTGAAAGACATCAGACTCCTCTCTTACAATATATTATTCATGATACCGATTAAAGGGGGACACTTCTTCTGTGTTTTATTTGAAGTGTTGATCCATAAGAAGATATAATTGTGGTTTTAAGAACCAAAAACCATCTCAATGTAGTTTTACATCTCCTCTCTCAGGCTTCTCTCTGGAGCTCTAGTAACAACAGGTCGGTGAGCCAATCAGAAGAGAGGAGGCTCTGAGTCTCTCTTCTGATTGGCTGATTGTTTTTGGAGTAATCCAATAAAAATATAGCAGATTTCAGGTAAACACTCAGAGAAACCAAATCCCGCAAGGTTGGATGGTGGTTCCGAGTGGGTGGGGCTTGGGGCTTGGCTGAGAGCAGTGACTGCTTTATTGTGACATCACAAATTAACAGAAGTCCTGACGGCTGGTTTTAAGGCTCAGTTTCTGAATACAGGCTGTGTGCATTTCTCTGTGGACTGAGGCTTTGATACTTTCACAGTATTAATATAGAACCTAGACCTGCTTTATAATCAAACAACACATGGACATCTACCTTTACACTATATGGACCTTTAATCAGACCTATAGAGCCACTGTTTTTAATTTCTAAAATCAAGAACACTCTACTCCAACTGTATTATTTGCCTGTCTACTCGAGTGATGAGCATGGAACAGTCAAATAAAGGGATGGAGAATCTCTTAGTGCAGCTGCTCTTCCTCCATCACCATCTCCACCACAGAGCAGATCACAGCATCAGTATGTGGAGGATTTTGGGAGAAGACAGATCCAAAACAAAACGTAGCATCCTGCATGCAGCTGCTGACTCACTACTTCTAATGTGATGATTATCTGCATGTGTTACAGAGCGCTGTAGTGACAGTCTCACGTGTTTTCCGTTTTGACAGGTAAGCTGGTGACAGTAAAGTATCTGCGTTTGGACCGATACCACCAGCGCTTCCCGCAGGCACAGGGCTGCAACACGCCCCTGAAGGCCTCCAGCCTCCTCCACCCGAACACCACAAGCACCGCGGACACTACGCCCAGCCTGCAGCACCACGGCTCAGCCAACTCTTCAGGCTTCTCATGAGATCACCATTAAAGCATTAGATTTAGCGTTCTCTTCTGTGCCCTCCCAGCAGCACAGCACCAGTCTGCTGCTGCTCCTTCACTGCTTTATAACGGGGAAGACTTAAGTCTGTGCCATGGGAGAGCTTTTTTTTTTTTTTCTTCTTCTTTTTTTTTTAATTGTTTGTTTGTTTTTTTTTTTCAACACAGGATCTTTGCAAGAAAAGCTGTTCAGCGTTGCAGTGTTTGTTTTCTATAATCTTTGTATTAGAAATGTCATGGATTTAACAAGGAAGCGAAGCTCTTCTGGAATATTTAAGATGTGTGCAGATACTCCGACCCTCCCTCCTCCTCTTCCTCCTCCTCTTCCTCCTCCTCCTCCACAGTGTAACTAACTGATCCCATGATGGAATTCATTTGGGCACTGTATGAAAACGGCTGCATGTTTCAGCGTATGCCTCTATTTCAGAGTATGCCTCTATGTAAGCTTTCAATACAACAGTGTGGATGTTGATTTCTTTTTTCCTGAAGATGTTCGATGTACTCCTTGTTATTATTATTATTATTATTCTTGATTATTATTATTATTTAGTCAAGCGAGGAAGGCATGGACAGATTTGCAGAGGGTGTCCTGTAAATACATGTGAATGGTGGCACAAGCTTTATTACATCTTCTGTATTAAAAAGCAAAGCATAAGCTCACTTTTTTTTTTTTTTTTTTTTTTCTTCCTTTGCTGCTCACGTACCACAGCAGAGTACATCTGTATCCAGAGGCAAACACTCCCAGAGAGGCCGCAATAGCACAGATGCACACACACAGAACAGTTCAGGTGGTAGAATGCCGATTCAGCCGCTGTGTGTGTGTGTGTTGTTTGCTCCATGTATTCCATGTATGGGCTTTCTTTCCCTTTGTCCTTGGTTTTGTTATGGCATCCAGCAGAGCTCCCATTACCCTCAACGTTTGAGCGATATAACAAAATCAGGGAGTGTAACCTTTTTAACAGTCACCTGAAACTTTCTACTGCAGATATAATCCAATATATCCCCAAGTTATTATTACCACTTATTATATTTATTATTTACCTCTTTCAAGTTGTGGTGCAACCACCCCCTTCTCATTGAATTGGATTTCCACGCCTGTTCTGAATGAGTGGTGTGTGTCAGTTGAAGTCAGGACTGTTTCAGAATCTGTGCTCACCTCACAGATGTTTCCTGTCATGACGGAGCCTGGTTCTGTCTCCACTGGCCTCTCGTAAACGATGCTACCACGCTTTTTTTTTTTTTTTTTTTTTTTTTTTTTTTTTTAGTCATAAGGAGTACTGTGAGAATGTTGACAAGTTTGTAATACTCAATTCTAAACATCCCAACCCCCACCACCCTGCCAGCCCCTCCCTGTAAGGAGAGTTTACTGAACTTAGGGATTCCTGATTTGCTTGTGTGTTTTTACAGCATTCGTGTACTCAGAAAAAAAAAAAAACGCTAAGAATCCAGGAGATGCTATGACGTAATTACATTTTTTTTTTTTTTTTTTTTTTTAAATGCAGTGAATTGAAAGTTGGATTCAGTATTTGCAGTGTGAAATTGTACAAATGATGCACATTTCAAAATGTTCAAAATCTGCTGCAGTAGGCAGCGGACAACCCAACAGTGCCTTAAATTTGTGCTTTTTTTAAGACTGGCACTGCATTACTGGACAATACTGGATTTAAGAAATAGAAACAGTTCAAAGGGTGAGTAAGGCCTGCCATAGATGTAGTTTTGTTAGAGTTTTACATCTTCAGATTTGGTATTTTGTAGCAGTTTCCTTTGATATTAAACCAAATGCTTCTCTCTATTTATTTCTTTTTTTTAAAAAAAAAAAAAAAACAGCCATGGTGATGTACTATTTTAATGTCACTATACAGTACCTGTTACATATGTGTCATAACTTTATTTCATCGAGAATCAACCTTACATCCACTTCCAAACAACTGTCAGGATGTGTAAAACAACAAAATAAAGTGAACACTTTAAGAAAGAAGCCAGTTGTTAGTGCATCACTGTAATCTATTTTTGTACTCCAGCAGAACGGTGCACCTGCAGCATTTCACCTCACAGACTGTACTGAGGCTGAATGTAAATGTTGGTTTGATGTGACGCCACCTCTCCAGGCTTGTGCTTCACCTATAAATACATCCTCGTGGATGCTTTCTTTTCCTCTGATGTATTTTATGTAAACACTGTACATTGATATAAGTGTAGTATGTACCATTATATGCAGCTTTATTTCCATTGCATTGTATGTTTGGGTTTACCAGTATCCCTAACCTGCTAGCCAGAGGGGGGAGGTGTAATATACTAGACATTTAAAAAAAAAAATAGATGTTTTAATGTAATTTGTCAATTGTACAAACAGCTCAAATTAAAGATTTATTAGGAGTTTTTACATTTTGTTTGTTGTACTTTTCTGTCATTTGCACGTGTGAGAGAAAAGCCTTATTCATACATTTTAAGGCTGTTTTATTAAATTTTTTAAATTGAAATCCATAATTTTTTTTTAAGTTTTAATAGGTGTTAATGTTCTGAATACTTGCGTCAGTTCAAACTGTCCATCAAGGTCCCTGCCCATTTTTTTCACCCGCTAAGGCTTCACTGTTTAATGACTCTCTTACACCTTTTTGTTGTATTCTAGTCAGACAAAATCCCATTTATACACGGTTAGTTTCCTAGAAACGTTTTAGCTTTCAACAACAGATAACGAGATAATGTAAGTCAAAATATGCAAAAACAAACAATTTCAACATGGCCCCTTTTCCCAAAATCAGTTTGAAATAACATTTGAGCCAAGTTTAAAAATAATACACATTATGTATTTTGCATCATCATTATTTCACATTTTCTATTGAGCACTTTGGCCTCCTATACCTACAGTATGACTCTTCAATTTATTCCAAAAGGACAGAGATGAGGTTAAGACTTCTTGACCACTATAAATTCAATGGGAAGTCGTGGAAAAGACCTTATCATCATCATCATCATCATCATCATCATCATCATTATTATTATTATTGTTGTTGTTGTTGTTGTTGTTTTTGTTATTACATTGTCAGTGTATACAATAGCTGAGTGTATTCAACATCCATGACTATAACAAACCTGTGTACACCTGATGTACACTGTCCCTTTTAATTTTATTTCACGAGCTTCATCAGTTAAAGCTGTTTTCTGCCTCCTCATCTACTGTTTTAGTCGATTTGAAGATTTTAATATTTAAATGAACTGATGAATTTGGCTGATTGGTTGTAGCCCGATTACATTATGACGTAACGAGGCAGCTATGTATGAACAAAACGGAAACGGAGCGTGGTCCTGGCCATAATTGGAGATGTGCAGGTCGCCTGTCATTCTACCCGTAACACAAACAGCCTGTTGATCAGCTGCACGGACCGTGTTGTGTTAGTGTCTTGTACTAGTAACCCGTGTTTGTGCTCCAGGTCAGGCTCATGTTCCGACCTGACACCGCCATATTACCACTGAGAATTCTGACTGTCAGCGTCGTGCTCCTGCTGCTGCTTCTCTCCGGTACGTCAGTGTCTTGTGTTTCTGTGTATTTTGAAGGGCACAGTTAGCATTAACGGTGACGAAGGCAAAAGTTAATGTTGATGGGGACGCGTTTACGGAGTTTTTTGTAGCGTGGGGAATTTACCAACTCGAAACATAAACTTTGACGAATTTGTGATAACCTCACAAATTTCAATAATGACTGTGAACCTCTCAGAAACAGACAGAACACCAAGATTCAGTTATTGTTAATTTTGGGTTCTTGCCTTGTCAAGCTCAAATTAGACATGGCGGCAGTGAGCTACAGCGTTACATAACGCAACGTTGTAAAATGTACTATTACTTTGACATTTCTCAACTCTACGCATCGTCAGCTGACCAGACATTTTCTTTTATGTAGCTAACTGTCTGAGATACCATCATCAACACAACCCGTGTTTCACTGTGGCGCACTGGTGAATTAGGTTTTAGTAATTAAGATACCACGAGAGTTCAGGAAATTTAACTCGCGGTATTTCCCGGTTTTCCTAACGTATACCGTGTAATCCGTGCTGTGTGATGAAATCAGGATCAATTTCCTCTTATATTCACTTTAAACTACAATGTTATGGTGAAACTCATTACAGGGCATTTCTAACTGCCTTTCACCTAACTGACATCTAGTGGTAGTGTCAGTCACAGCATTGAAAGCACTGTTAATGAACTGGTCCTTGAATTATGCACACAGTGTAATATTAATTATTACTGTACCTTCTTTGTTTTACCTATGGTGCGTAGGGTTTAGTATGTAGCATCTAACATGAGATAAAAATGGTGGTTCTTACACTGTCAAACAAAGTGTTTATCACAACTATAGTTCAGTTTTAAAACACCAAAGCTCTGTGAATTGCCCCTCCTGGGTTTAATTGCCTCTGTCAGCATGAGAGGAAGCTGTGGCAGAGTATTTGACATTGTTAGGTTTGTTCTTGTTTGGCTCAGCTAAGGGCAGCAGAGTGACAGAGCAGTGCACAGAGCCAAACACAGAGAGAGCACTGAATGAAAACCTGAAAACATTGGTGAACATGGCTGACAGGGACATGCATGCAACACGGATATCCATAACATCCATTACTTGGATATATTGTTATAGTACATTGAGGCTTGTTACAGTGCAAAATATCAAGTAGTCCTCTAACTAAAGCAAGACAGGACAGGTTTAAACACAGAATGTAAAAGTTGCAGGTTTTAAATAATTGAAAAGGGCTTTGGATTTTTTTTTTGTGAGGTAGGAAATACAATCAGCATAAAGAAAACTACACAGAATACTTTAACATTTTGTTGATGAAAGTAAAAACAATAGGAATGTAACTTAAAATGTTTATCAGAGCTAAATCAAGTGGAAAAAAGTAAGTGGAATTAGGATGTATTACAACTCTTATGGAGAAACTCACTAGAAAAAGTTTGTGAATGAGACACATCAAACTAACAGTGTCTGTGGCCGACCACTTCCTATTGTTTTCTGTGGTAGCTGGCATCGTTGGCCAGTAGTCGGCCCACATCAGAGGCTGACTGGCCGTTTAAACAGACTCACAGTGGTGTGAAAACTGTAATCTTGTGTTTTCATTATGTTTCAGACTAGAGACCAGTTTCTTCCTCTCACTGGCTGTTAGCTGTAGTATGTGTGGTGTGTTCATTTGCAGTTTTCAACATGTGGTGATTCTCATCCAATACAAAGGGTCTCATCAGTCAGGCTTTGGTGTCTTTATTATTTTGAGGCTGGCATACAGTGGCTTCAGAAAGTATTCAGAGCCCTTTACTTTTTGCAGAATTTGTTGTTTGTAGATTTCATTTATAATGGATAAATTTAGCTACTTTTGTCCAACTATCTACTCTCATTAACCCATAATGACGAAGCGAAAATAAGTATTTGATACATATTTGAAGTGCTGATCCATAAGAAGATATAATTGTGGCTTTAAGAACCAAAAACAATCTCAATGTAGTTTTAGATCTCTCTCTGGAGTTCTAGTAACAACAGGTCAGTGAGCCAATCAGAAGAGAGGAGGTTCTGAGCCTCTCTTCTGATTGGCTGACTGTTTTCTGAGTGATTTAATAAAATATATAGCAGATTTCAGGTAAATACTCAGAGAAACCAAATCCTTTAAGGTTGGATGGTGGGTCTAGGTGGGATAGACTTGGGGCACGGCTGAGAGCGGTGACTGCTTTGTTGTGACATCACAAAGCTCCAAAAGTCCTGACGGCTGGTTTTAAGGCTCAGTTTCTGAATACAGGCTGTGTGCATTTCTCTGTGGACTGAGCGCTTTGATACTTTCACAGTATTAATATAGAACCTAGACCTGCTTTATAATCAAACAACACATGGACATCTACCTTTATACTATATGGGACCTTTAAATGTACAGCACAATAAAGTGTGCAAAGAGTGAGGGAGTTTGAATAGTTTCTGAAACCACTGTTTATCCTTTGGTAGACAACTGTTTTCCTGTAGGATGATGTTCGCACACTGCTGGAAACACTGCCATATAAGGCCACCTTTTTATCACAGAGTGAGATTTTCCTCTTGTGGCTGTCTGGCTTTGAATGTGAGTTACTATATTTTCTTTGGTGACTTTTACTCAGTTGACCCAGAGAGATTAAATACAGTCCAGCCATCATTGAGGTCATGTTTAATAAGGTAATTAAATATTTATTCACAGAAATTGGCAGCTCTCTCTCTCTCTCTCTCCCTCTCCCTCCCCCTCTCTGTCTCTCTCTCTCTCTTCAGTTTGACTGTTTGTCTCATGGATGTCCTCTTCAGACGTGGCGTCTTCGTGGCTGTGCGTCTCGCTGTGAGCAGCTCAGTCTGCCGCCCTGCGCCGTGCGCCGCTCTTCTAGGTAGAGTAACCTGTTAGCTTTAGTGTTCACATGTCCAGCTGTGACTGTGGTGCGTTTAAGGAACATGTTAGTTTTTTGAATGTTTTAGTCCATCTACTATGATGCCTAACCATAGCATAGCATAGCGTAGAATAGCATGACATAGCAAAGCATACCATATACAGTATAGATACTTTATTTAGCCCCTAGGGGAAATTCATGAAGTACCTACTGTGCACTATGTTTTTTTTTAATCATTTTTATTTAATCAGGCAGTCTTTTTGCAATATGTGACCAAAAATATGTGGACACCCCTTCTAATCGGAGCTGTCAGATGCATAACATTAAGCAAGCCAAGCAAGCTACACTGATAAACATTTCCATTTTCCAAGAGCTCAGTATCTTTTCATGTGTCACTAGCTGTGTCCCAATTCAGGGGCCACATCATTCGGAGGATGTGGTCTAGGAAGGTGTGGCCCCCTCGTAGCCGCTGTAGACCGCGGAGGCCGGACTGAAATGAGACGGTCTGGCCTGCGAGAGTTTTCGCGTGGCTCCTGTCGCCTAGCAACCCTGACAACATGCAACTTGTTTTCACATAAATTCGAGGTTTTAAAGTCCTTGGTTTTAACAGTTCTAGTGTTAGCTGTTGAACCGAGCTGAAACCCAGTACTTAGATTTAAAAGTGTAATCCTCGGGCTCTCTGTCACTGATGTTTGCTTTCACTGCCAGCGTGCGATGAATCTCGGGATAGGTTGAGCCTTTGTTGCTCCAGGAAAAGAAAGACGTATTTGAAGGAGCCTTCGAAATGGAACAGTCTAGTCTCGCCGCTTTGATGCAGTCACTCTTCAAATGCAGCCTCCGAAGGATGAGGCCTCTGAATTGGGACACAGTATCTGTAACATTCACCACCAGCCTCCGGAAGTAATGTTAACACAATAAGAGTTTGAACTTCAAGGTTTACGTTTCCACGCCCAAACAGTGACAGGCAAACCCCAAGAACACTATGCACAATACTACACACACACACACACACACACACACTGCTGTTTAGGTTGTACGCAGTGGGAATGTGTTTTTTTTTGATGAATCATGATGAATCATGTTTCACTCTCTGGCAGTCTAATGGACAAGTCTGTTTTTGGCAGATGCCTGAATGTGTAGTTGCACCTGCAGAGTTTGATGAAGGGGGAATAGTGCCCTGGGTCTGTTTGTGCTGGTGTGTACAATGACAATGATATTTTAGACATCATCGTCCAACTTTGTTTTCCAAGCCTGTCACAGAATTGTCGCCAGGGCAAAAAAAAAAAAAAAAAAGGTTGTGTCATCACAATTGATCAGTTATGTAAATGAGCTCCGTCGCAATCCATTTAAATTGGCCTTTAAAGTGCTGCTCAGTAAGACCTGATGCCGTGTTGTTTTGACGCACGTTGCGCACATCTGGAAAGTAACGGGTCTGTGAAGCTAAAGTTTTCTGCTGCTGAATGTGGAGTAAGGAGGAGTGGGCCAGTAAAAGTCAGGAATCAACTGTGGGAGACAGAGAGGTTGAAAATAGCAGGTCGTTGCTCTATTGTGTCGTTGTCTGTCTCTTTCTCTCTCTGTGTTGCTCTCGGCTTCAGTCTCTGTCACCTCTGTGTTTGTCTGTTGGAACAGAGCTGCAGATTTTACTCTTGATTTTGTTTTTCACTCATTTTTTTTTTTCATTTTCTTTTGCAGTTTTTTTGTGCTGTAAACTCATTTTTAACATGAAACAGACATAAAATTTTCCGTTGTTATAATAAAATATAGATAAATTATATTCTAAAATAATAATTACAACAACAATAATGATAATAATTCCATTATGATAACTTATTATTATTAAATATTATAATATCTGTATTATTTATTTATTTATTTAGTCATTTGTTTATTTTACTTTTAAAATATTATCTTTTTTATTTTATTTTTTACTACTACTATAAACTGAGCTCCAGACAGTTTATTCTATGGTATAAACCATTGGGAAATACCTGTGATAGTAGTATTGGTGGGTTGAGTTTTTCTGTGTGTTTCATGGTCAGTGAGATTAATCAGGTTTCTTTATAAAAATGCTAACGTTAACTTTTACACATCACCAGCTGAAGGTCAGAAGCTACACTGTGTATCTGGATTACAATGAAGGGATTAGTCAACCACGCAGGAGAGGGTATTAATCTGTTTTGTTTTTCTAGGTCCATGTTCCACATACCTGTTAAGCAGTGCCCTTCAGAACAGATCCTAATAACCATGACCTTTTATTCCACACCTTGTCTCTAATGCTGTTCAGTATAAACCAGTGTTGTCATGTGTTATTTCTCCCTCTATCTGCTCCCCTTCATCTAGCCCAGTCCCTGGTGTAGCCCTGCTGAGGGGTGTTTGTTTCTAGTGGTGGGTGGAGTACCTCTGTCCAGCAGCCATGTCGGGCTTCAATCTGCTGCATCTAATAACCAAGAGTCAGCCTGTAACTCTGAGGTCCTGCAGTCTTCCCTCAGGTCCACTGACTGGGTGCTGTGTGCCTGCTGTGCTCTGCCTCTCTAAAGCCTTAACACCTGGCTGGTGTGTCAGCATGTCTTTACTGTCCCAGTCTGCGTGTGTTCAGAGTGGCGTGAACTGCTTTCACTTCTTTTCTTACATTTGATTTGGAACAGTAATCAGTGGTTTGCATTGAGCGATGCTTCAGAGCTCCCAAATCTGAACCAAATCTGACCAGGGCTGGTAATCGGATCTCAATACTTTCTTTGATCAGATATTACCTGATTTATTTTATTTTATTTTCTTTTAAGTTTTATGTTCTACTGATTCATGTTGGCATGGAAGGTGCTTCGCCATCTCAAAAAAGAAAAAAGCACACCTGCACCTCTGCATGAGAACTAATGACACTGCTTTGCAGGTTTCTGCTGCCCTCTGCTGGACAACACTGACATGAACTTCACCAATTCTTTTTTTTTTTTTTTTTCCTGTGTTGTGATTTGATTTTAATGTAGCATGGAAAATTCAGGTTACAATGAAAAACAATGAATTCACTTGTTAAAGACAAGGAGCTGAATGTTAGTCCTGTTAACATGCGTTTTTCATTTAATTAAGACTAAATTCTTACATTAAAAGCAAATACATACAACAAAGTGTGTTGTTTTTTACACTTTGTTTATAGTTTGGCATTTTAAATCTTTCATACTTATGCATCTTTTATTTAGGCAAAGTCCAGATATAAAGGTTTCTCTTAAAGAGCCAGAGCAGTGGTTTTGCATGTCTTTGTATATTTAACACAACAGAAAACCATATTGTAAACGATGCTATTGTATTTTACAAACGTGGATATATTGTCTATTGCTCCAGGAGTCCGTTGAGTTCTGCTCGTTTTTTTGTACAGTATGAAAATCAATTAGCAATCTCTTGAAACCTGAATTCTGCTTTAAAAAATACATCCCATAATCAACAGTAGTATAAATGGTCAAACTAGCCCTTTTTAGAAATGCAAAGTGCATATTATTTGTTTATTTAAAGATGTGAAACATTCAGACATCAACCAGTAATACATTTGAGAGATTAGCTCTTTTTTATTTTAAATTAAAAAAACTATGTTTATACTATAAGAAAATCAGGGCCAGGTTCACATCCAACAGGAGATAATTAGCTGAAATGATTCTCACACAATGTTCTGTCACTGGTTACAAATCAGCAAGGCTGAACAACAAAATTATTATTATTTTTTTTTTACTGCGATGTGTTTAAGCAGAAACATTGGATTTTTGGATTCGTGGTCACATTTTCCAGATTATCTAAACAGATTTATATTTTTTTGTGTGTGTCATTCTGAATGTTTTACAAAACATTTTTTTCAACAACACTCTCTCAAATGTCGCAATCCTGACATATTAGCACCTTAATAATTTGTTTTGGCTAATAATGTTAGCCACTAATTGTTGCCTGGAAACGTCTGACACATATAGGGCAATATTATCATTTAGTAAACAGTGACAGCGCGCACAGCTCCACGTCCTGAGCACTGTATCAGGTGCACGCTCGTATCTGAGTCAACAAGATATTGTTATTATTGCTAATTATAATTATATAATTATAATATTCTAAATAGTAATAATAGATAAAATGGTAATATCTTAATTATTATTTTTTATTTTGTATACAACATGGAGGAACATGTAAAACCAGTAAAGTTACCCAGATGACACAGTAACGCTGCCTCTTGGAACTGATCCCGGGTTTAGAAAAACTCAGTCTTCAAACCGCACCAAGCTCTAAATCTGGACACAAAAACGACTGGGACCACTGCTTGTAATCTAAACTGACACTTGTGTGTGGATGCGTGTTATTAGACCTAATTTCCCTGAGATTTAACAGACAAACACCTCACACACAGGTTGGATATTAAAGCCCCGAAGAGACTAAACATACACAAACTTGGGAGCATTTACGAAGGCTTTGTTTACAGTAGTGTAGACTCTTTAGTTTTCTGTATCACATCACCCACACACTCCGACTCACCGGTCTCAAGTGGTCAACATATTCTCTTTGTAAAAATGGTCCATGTTGCTGTCGCACAGCTGGAATTTCAAATACTAACACAATAATCAAATGATTCACTGCTTGGCTTTGGTTTGTGGTTTGTGGTTTTGCTCAGTAAATTTACACTTGAAAGGTTTTTCTTGCTCTTGGGTTATTTTTGTGTTTTGTTCTTGGATGAAGATGAAATATGTATTTTTAGCCAGTTATCCTTGTATAACAAACATCTGCATGATGCAGCAGAGATGATTCACACAGATCTGAGAGCAGTCTTTGGCTCACCTGCTTTTATTTATATTTAGTGTCTCAGAGTGATATGAAGACAGAGGAAGACTTAGAATAGCTGGACATAAGTGATAGTGTTATTGTGACCTGCAGCTCTTTTGTCTTCCTGCATAGTTAGTATTATCTGTCCTCCCTGCCTTCCCCCCCCTTCAGGAGCGCGTAGGACTAAGAAGACATGGCCGGTGAGCTTCTCTCAGGAGGAGCTGAAGAAACGCCTCACACCGATGCAGTACCAAGTCACTCAGGAGAGAGGAACTGAGAGGTGAGACCCACCAGCGAGCCTTACGTTTACACTCTCTGTCGATCACCATTCAATAGAAAAACAGTGTGGCAGTGTGGAGCGCTCAGCTTGACTGACAGAGCTGTTTTCAACAGTGCGTTCACTGGAGAGTTCACGCATCATAAAGATGAGGGGAGCTACACTTGTGTTGTCTGCGGCGCCGTGCTGTTCAGGTAAGAGCTGCACTGCTTCTCTGTGTGTGTGTGTGTGTGTGTGCGTGCGTGTGTGTGCAGGCTTCACATGACCTTTTATCTTGGATTTAAAAGTAGAATTTTTTGCCAGATGTTGGGAGTCATGATACTTCACCACAATTTAAAAGAATAACATTAGAAAGAGGAGGAAGTATGTTTTTTTTTAAAGCATGAAATTAACATGATTTCTGTTTTCTGCTTTTCCAGCTCCAACACTAAATTTGACTCAGGATCAGGTGAGTTCCATCACTGTAGTCCCGGCTGTCCAGTTCCTCACCTGCAGCTCTTTCCTCTGCTCTTTCATCTTTACGGATCGGCTCTATTTTTGCTGCATTTCTTAACCCTGAAATTCAAATGAATATAAATTCTGGTATTTGCTCATCATTGACTCTTAATTATTGACTTTATCTCCATGTACATACAGAAAAAAAACTACTTTTTCTTGTTTGCTTGTGTCACATCTGGACAGTCTGTGAAGTGGGAGGATGTGGGATTTCCCTTCTGATAATATACACTATTGACAAGGCGACACGCTGTACACAGCATTTAAAAACTTTGTTTATTTATTTATCTGATAGGGACGATGCAGTTTAACATAGTTCTAATACAAAGCATGAAACTGATGTGTTGCACAGAGAGTTTACGGCTTAATTGACTGGTTTAAAACTGTCCACTCCATCAGCAGCTGCTCCCTCAGCACAGTGACAGTCACTGTGAACAGTTAGTTACCTCCTTCATGGATCAGTGCTGAGCTGCAGACTTCACTGTTCTCCCCTGGATCTGTTCCCTCTCTTGGTTTTTCTCTATCATGAATTTTTCAGCCTCATGAGGCAGAAAAATAAACACTGTTGTGTTTGTGATTCGTGGAGGTTCAGACATGGTTTCCTGCTGTGCTCTGTGGTTTCATACCTAGGTGACCTAATAATGCTGTTTAATGTTACTGATACACATATGAGCTTGTGTTTTAAGGAGGATCATGAGACCTCCGTCACATCGGTTGGTGGTTTCGCACTCGTCTGCAGTGTAAGTCACTTCTGTTAGGAAGGTGAACACTGAGGGCAGTTTGTTATTTAGACCTTGCAGCCAGTTTGTTGTGAGTGTGGCTGACTGTGAATTACTGTATGCTGTAAACCTCCTGGGTTTGCCTGTTAGCAGCGCTGTGAAGAGATCATGAACTAGAGGAGAAAACCCAGTCGGTCAGCAGAGGGTGCTGCCCCTCCATCTGGACACGAGTCCACCTCAGTGATGAGGATGAGTTCCCCTAAACAAGTTGAAGCATCTATACTGAACGAAAATACAGAATCAACGCTTTTGCTTTCACTCCCATTTTTCATGAGTTGCAGCATCATGTAGAAAAATACCTGGAAGCTTAAAACATGCCGGTTCCTGTATGACCTGTGTCGTCACCAGACACATCACCCACTCAACAGAGGAGATGTGTCGCACTGCATGAAGCTCGTTTTTTCGGACCCACAACCCCCTACCAAGAAAATGCACATCTGTTGCCACACAGTTCACTACATAATAAATGTTTTTCAAAATAAAACTGGACTTTTTAAAGTGGCCTTTTATTGTGACCAGCCCAGGTCACACCTGTGCAACAGTCATGCTGATGATATGTCACACCTGTGAGGAAGATGGAGGAGAGACGCTCACTAACGCTGGTTTAAACACATTCATGAACCAGATTTGAGAGAAAGACGCTTTTTGTGAGTTCAGACAAAGTCTTCAATTTTTTTTTTTATTTCAACTCAAAACAAAAATGTTGCATTTTCTATTTTTGTTCAGTGTAATTGGAAACATGACAAAAACACAGATGAGCAGAGAGCAGCTTTCATCATCTGGGCACCATGAATGTCTATACAGAATTTAATGACAGTTGTTGAAATATTTCCATTTGGACCAAAGTGGCGGAACGACCGATCGACACACCATGACTTGGCGTACAGCGAGCACGGCTAAAAATAACGTCTTCAGTGTAGCGTTGAACGAGGAAAACATGTAATCCAGTAATACGTCAACACAAAGTAACAAAACAAAAAAAACTATTACAAAAGAGCTGAATCAAGCTCTGAGCCAGTATTTACCCCAGTAAGCATGCAGCATTTCACTGCTTTCATTTAACACCAGCTCACATCAGATGACCAGTATGACTGACGCTCTCTGACCAACTCTCACTGTCCTCTGTGTGCCGACAGCTTCCTAACGTGATACCTCTTCATGTGTTCAGGTTGGCCGTCCTTCTACGACCTGGTGAAGGAGGAGTCTGTATCTCTGACGGATGATTTCTCCTACGGGATGCACAGAGTGGAGACGACCTGCAGCCAGGTACCATAGAAACACTGCATCACACCCCCAACAGTAGCTCTCGTTTTCTCCCTTATCACAAAACTCGCTGTGAGAATAGAATCAAATGCAGCAGCTTCCCTGCAGCATTTCACAGACTAATGAAAAAACAAAGCAGATGATCAAAGAGTCTGACCCTCTTACTGTATCTACATATTTTGGAAATAAAAATAATAAAATTTAGTTTAATTTTAAAGAGGAAAAACTATGACCTCATTCAAAAAATTCAATTTCATTTAGTGAAGTAGATGTTAAATGTCTTGTATTTTATACTTCTCCAGTGTTGATCCATAAGAAAATATATTTGTGGTTTTAAGAACCGAAAACCATCTCAGTGTAGTTTTACAGGTCAGTGAGCCTCTGAGTCTCTCTTCTGATTGGCTGACTGTTTTCTGAGTGATCCAATAACAATATAGCAGATTTCAGGTAAAACACTCAGAGAAACCAAATCCTGCAAGGTTGGATGGTGGGTCCAGTGTGGGGGCGGGACTTGTGCCGTGGCTGAGAGTGGTGACTGTATAGTTGTGACATCACAAAGTTAAAGTCCTGACGGCTGGTTTTAAGGCTCAGTTCGTGAATACAGGCTGTGTGCATTTCTCTGTGGACTGAGGCTTTGATACTTTCACAGTATTAATATAGAAGCTAGACCTGCTTTATAATCAACACAATGTCATCCAACATCGCATCGCATTGTGTTGGCCAATCAAACACCTGCAAGTGCACATTCCTGTTACTGTAGATTACAAAGTGAAATGCTGATAATGTCGAACATGTACAACTTATTGCCTGAGTGTCAAAATCTTTCCTGTTGTGTTTCAGTGTGGAGCTCATCTGGGACACCTGTTTGATGACGGACCAAAACCGACAGGGAAGCGCTACTGCATTAACTCGGCCTCACTGGGTTTCCAGGCCAAAGATGCGGCCTCCACCTCCACCTCCGCCTCCACCTCCAGCTCCGGGGCTGAGGGTGGAGCTGCCAGCAGCTCAGTGAGCGATGGGAAGACAGAGCTCTGAAAGAACCAGACCAGACCGATGACTGCGCCTGTGCAGGGATAGTCCGAAAACTCACACGCATTAAATAGTTAGGAGTGGAGTGGTTTTGATTCACAAAGTAAAAATAGAGTGAGGTGGTAATAATGCAAAAGGAAGGAAGGTGCTCAGGCCTCAGACACAGACCAAATACTCTGATGTTTTATCTGTCACAAAGGAAAGTGCATGTTTCGAAAAACAGCCAATTTGTCGCCAGAGTCGATGCTGCAGGACACACTGCGTAAACTGACTGCCTTAAAGAGAACTTCCAGTATTTGTCAGCCTGGGTGTTAATCTCTGATTCTTCTGTTGTGAATATAGTTCGTCATAACATTGTATTTGTAAAGATTTGTCGAGAGCAGAGGTGGTGAATTAAACGTTGTCATGAGAGAACGGCATGAAAAACAAAAAAACAAAAAACAAATACCAGGATTTTCTCCCTTTAATGTTCTAAGCTCTGGATGAAGTGCTGTGTTGTAGACACACACACACACACACACACACATACACGCGCGCATATGCACATACATACATATGTATATAAATATGTATATGTCACTATATTGAAATGATATTTGATACTGAGAGGTTGGTTTAAAGATATCTATGCAAGTGCTCCTGTCAGCAGTAACACAGTAACGGAGCTGTGACAGATGGCATCTTATTATGGGTAAACACAACTGTGGCCTTTAGGTTACTTCCTGTATTTGTTCCTTCTTTGCATTAGAAAATATTTTCAGTCGTTCACAGCTTGAATTAAAATATTTAATGGATGAATAAAATATCTAGAAACACTATGACTGTCTTGTTCTACTTTTTGAAAAGTGTGTGTAGGTCAGTGGTTCTCAACGGGAAAGTGTGTCCAAACTCTGTTTTGGAGATTTTCAAGTGGCCTTGAGTGACCTGCATGTGGAGAGTGTCATAAGTCATTTTCGTGGGGTGGAAGCAACATTACTGTCCTATGTCATGAGGTGTTTTTTTTTATTTGCATTATTTGATTGATTTGACCAAAGTGAAGTCCGCCAGGAAAAACAAATGAACATTTAATGAAGACTTTATGGTGTTTGATGTGGACCTGGTAGAATGAGGTTTACATATGAAAACAGCAGTGTCTTTATCTTCTCTGGGATAACCTAGTCCAGTTGTGACCGGTCTAAATATAGTGGTTTTTGATCTGGACCTGGTCTGATGTGTCCTACATGTGGGGAAAAAAAAAGCTCTTTATTGCTTTCCTAAATAAAATAAAGTTTTCACAAATTTGAAGGCGGATCTCAGTGTTAAGACTTTACTCACTATGTTTAACACCTTTTCACAACAGTAAAAGGGGCAAAAAAAGAAAAGAAAGGACAATCGGCCACTCAACACTGTGACTTAAGTTTCCCCTAACTTTCCCCTGAACTGCCAAATTTCCTGTCTTGTGGTTTTATTTTTATCTGGGTCGGGAAATTCATGTCACAATGAAAAACAATTGATTCAGTTTTTAAAAACAAAAGCTAAATAACCGTCATTTAAAGGGGACATAGTCAGCTCATTTTCAGGTTGATATTTTTTATTTATTTATGTATCTGCTAGAAAATGTTTTCATGCTTTAATGATCATAAAAAAAGATGACTTTTCCTTTACTCTCCATGTGTGCAGCCCTTCTTTTCACCCTGCCATTAACTGATCCCAGGTTCTTTGCAGACCGTGGAAACCGTGGTCATCTCTAAGTGAGCTGGGTGACGGCGTGCCGTGTTTTGTTTTCTTCACGAGACCACGGTGTGGTTGACGGTCAGGGACCATGATGGGGAAACTTTCACCAGCGAGTTAGCAACCTCTTCACAGTGTTGTGCAAGTTCGCAAGAGCTCGCTCAAAGTTCAGTTCACAAAGGTTAAAATGAACTGGTTCACATTCATTTACTCTGTAGAACCTCCTCCTCCATCCATCCTCAGCCTCCAATCACTGCCACTTCTCAAACTACATGATTTACTGTTTACTACTATAGAGAGATGACGTTTAACAGAAGAAAAATCATTGTGAGTAAATGTTTTATGTGTCTCTGCTGTGAGTTTGACTCAGGTGGAGGAACTTAGTGGCTGTTGGATCATGGTCTTAACCTTTCTTAATGATTTCTTGTGATCATCATTCACTCTCATGCTTCAACTCAAATCATTAATGATTGTTTCTGTTGTAATCTGAACTGATTTGTTCATAAAAGTCTTCAAATGTTCATATGAAGTGACCTCAGCAGCACCGGTAGCTCCGCTGTTTGTATTGCCAGCATTAGACATCACACCTGACTCATGCCAGGTGCTGTAAACCCTTTCGTGTTGCTGTAAAACCAAAACACGGTTGTGTTTTTTTTTTTTTTTTTTTTTTTTTTTTTTGTGGTTTCTCACAGCGTGGCTCATCTTTTTCATTTCTGCCACATGCAAAAATAACAATGTGGCTGTAGCACTCAGAGAAACCCAGCGTCAGGGTTTGATGTTTGATGGTGTCATCGCTTGTTGCAGACGGTAACAGGGGTCGGCCAACGCCCGCAGTTCTGAGTCCTCACAAACGGGAGACACAAAGGACGGGTTTGTCTGTCAGAGGAAACTGTAGCACTGATGACAATTAGAGATGGAGGCAGAGTGGAAACAGATTTGATTGGCAGCCATGTGCAGGACTGTGACATCAGAGTCCAGGGTTTGCGTCCTGGTCCTGACTCCTGCCTGAGGTTCATTCACCGACATGGAAGTTGGTTAATTTAATGAAAAGATTGTGATTTTAGTAAAATGTTAATGACATGTTGCGTCTCAAGTCACTGTGGACTCTTTCTGTTTTACACCAGACCCTGATCTTTAACCGAGAGTGTGTAAATATAACCGAAACATTCTAATACCAGCACAACTGGATGTAGAACTTCAAAAGCTGCTGCATATTAACGGTATCTAAACATAATTTCCAGGGATGTGTGTGTGAGTGTGTAACTACAGCTTCCTCCCCCTCCTCCTCCTCTTTCCAACAGAAGACAAACTGGAAACACTGATAACACGTCTGCTCTCCCTCTCTCTGAGCAGCGTATTGATAATGTCCGTCTGGACTGGTGAGTGTTGCTACTGTTTGGGTTGTGACCTTGTCGACTCCAAGAAGTCTGCTCTCACATTCCTCACATTCCCCACAGCGGTACCCCCACCCTCCCACCCACCCACTCCCTCCTCTCTCTCTCTCAGCGGTAGAGACACATCCTCTTACTGGTTCAATTAAATCTTGATGGGTGGGAAAAATATGTTTTTGGCGCAATTATCCTGTGAAAACCAGCTAACAGTTCATACAATGAAGCCTGGCTGAAAGTGCACAGTCTTATTGAGCCTTGCTATGTTGTTAATGGGACTGATTGTTGAAATATCCTCAGAAACATTATTTACATTCTTGTAAACACGGCGGTCACCTTCATTGCTAAGCAGGAGATTAGCGGCTACATGCTAGCAATTGTAGTCCGTGCCCCGGTTCCATATTGTTAAAGTTCCAGTTTCTTTATTGCTACCTCCATAATTCACATTCCACATATATGGTACGATACATCATTAAAGGGATAGTTTGAGTTTTTTTGACGTGGGGTTGTGTGAGGTAGTCATGAATAGTTGTCACATTGCCCACAGCAGATTCTGTTCAGCGGGCTCCCCGTCAGGAGATCCGACCGGGAGCACCGGCAGACTAGCAGAGTGGTTGTGTTGCTGTGCGTGGGGCCGCCAGGAAAAAGCCGTTTTAGAAAACAAAAACAGCCGCCAAAACAATCCAATATCCCCGTTTAAATGTAGCTTCATGTAGAATATTTTCAGCGGTTTATCTTCCTATGAAAACAGCACTTTCTTTTGGTACTGCATTTTTTGAACTGCTGAACTACTGTATTCCTGTGCACAAGCGCACCTACAGAGTCACTGTATTACGCCGCAGCTGTGGGTCAGCTGAGTGAATCAGAAAGTTGAGAAAAATGGAAGTGCCAAAGGAAAGTGCTGCTTTCACAGGAAGATACAGCGCTGAAAATATTCTATGTGAAACTACATTTAAACAGATATTGGATAGTTGGGGACTGGTGGGATCTCCTAACTGCGAGCATGATGAACATGCATGTATCTATCTCGCACAACCCCACGTTAAAAAAAAGCTGATATACATGTTGATACTGTTTAAGATGTTATGCAATCGTCCTTACCTGCATAATGAACTGAACGTTTTTGTGTTTTTTTTTTTTTTCCATTAAATAAAGTCTATGTGCAATATGGAATTTGTGCTGTTTGTAATGTAGGAATGAAAATAAATATAATGATGTAGGAAATATTCAGGATCACTACAGGATACGCTATATGAGGTAATCCAAAAATAACACAAAATCAGTCCCAAAGAAAGATGCGGTTCAATTTATGTGTGCGTGTTCAGAGGTGCACCATCAGGAGAGGCTACCCAGGCAAATGCTTGGGGTCCCCAGGAGGAAAAGGGGCCCCTGATGGCCCCTCACACTGGAACATTTTGCAATGACAACTATAATCTCCCTTAAAACTCTGATAAAGACTTTTTACAGTGCACTGCTGTTGCCCCTGCTGTAGTTCGAATCTACCCATTGCCTGCATGTGAGGCATTGAGGGAACATCTGCAAATTGTAGACGTCTACTGATAGTCTGCATGAGAGGCGTTTAGGGGACGTTTAGGCGTTTGTCCCTGAGTGTTCAGAATCCTAATGGCTTGTGGGAAGAAACTGTTACATAGTCTGGCAGACCCGCCCTGTATGATCTGGAGTGCTACGACATGGTGAGAGTGGTGTGAGGGGTCAGCTGCTGGGTTGGAGGCCTTTCAGAGACACTGGGCTTTGTGGATGTCAGCTATGGTGGGGAGTAAGACAGCTACGATCCTTTCCATTCTATGTTTCGTGAATACTGCCCTCTGTATTTAAAGGGATAGTTGGGTTTTTGTCGACGTGGGGTTGTGTGAGGTAGTCGTGAATAGTTGTAACATCACCTGCACTAGATCCCCGAGCGGCGTGATCCCAGTTAGGAGATCAAACCGGGAGCGATGTGTTGCCGTGCACTGGGCCACCATAAAAAAGGGGTTTTAAACACTTTAAAAAGACGCCCACCGAAACAATCCAATATCCCTTTAAACGTAGCTTTGTGTAGAATATTTTCAGCAGTTTATCTTCAGCACTTTCCTTTGACGCTACATTTTTAAACCGCTTAACAACCGTATTCCTACGTACATGCGCACCTACGGAGTTCACTGTATTACGTCGCTCTCTGATTGACTCAGCTGACCTGTGGCTGCGGCGTAATGCAGTGCGACCCGTAGGTACACTTGTGCGTAGGAATTCGGGAGTTCAGTCGGATCTCCTAACTGGAAGCTCGCTGCTCAGGATCTCATGCTGACTATGCATGACTACCTCACACGACCCCACGTCAAAAGACCCCAACTATCCCTTTAAAAGTTGTGGGTATTTGGTCAAAAAGTGCAATATCTTTTAGAAACTGTAAAACAGTGTGAGCAACAGGATGTCAGTACTCATTCTCTGATGATACATTTTATCTGGAGAGTAAATTGTTTTCTAAAACTGTGAAGGATGACATCAGTTTGTGGAGTAACTGACGGTGAAACGCAGTGAGCGAAGGGGCATGGAAATTTGTCTTTTTGCCTCAAACAAGTGACAGCTTTTTCCAGGACGGGTGTGGTAAGGTAGAGGTGTGTTTTCGCTCTCAGGCAAACAGGGTTGAAGGTTGTGGGGTGGTCAGGAATGTGCGACTGAGAGGGACGACCTCCATTAACTGAAGAACAGGCTAAACAAAG